GTCCCCACTCTCAGCAGTGTGCCCAGAGAGCTGCTCAGGGCAGGGCTGGGGCTCTCCCTCTCACCAGGAGGTCGCTGTGCTCGGAGCTGTCCGAGTGAGTGTCCAGCTGCAGCAGCACCTTCTGCTTCTTCCTGGTGCTCTGCTCTGCAGGCACATTTGTGCTTCTCCCACCCTGCAGGTTCTGTGCTGAAGGAGTCTTTATAACAAATGTCTGGGGAGGAAAACGTTGATATTTTCAGTTCTGTTGTCAGGGGTAAGAACAGACTCTAAAGCCAAACTCTGAACCCATTTGTGGTCTGAGCTGTCCAAGAAGACCCCTGGGAGGTGCTGTGGAATTATTATCTTTCCATCCCAGAGGTGAACAAAGACCCCAAAAAAGGGGGTGGAGAGGGAAAATGCCCTTTTTTTGGTTGCTGAGCAAGGGGAATGGCCAGGAGGCTTTGGAAGAACTGAGGTTTCTGGCAGGTGGGGTCTCAGTCCTTGGGGCTCATCTGCAGAAATTCAGGGTGGTGGGAACTGCAGGCACCACCTGTGGGCTACAACAAACACCTGAGGAGATGGAAACAAAACTGCAGGAGAGTTCTGTCAGAGAGGCATTGGCATTGACAAGATGATTGTTTTTACTTCAAAGAGTCTTTCCATAAGAAGGAGATTTTTTATCTTTTACACCAGCAGATTCACTGTCCAAATCTAAAGGAGGAATTTGAGACTCGGGAAAAAAAGTCTGTATTTTCTAAAATTAAAAAAGGTTTAAGCTAAAACCATTTCAATGGCTTTTGTTGAGTGTGCATAAATGATCACAGAACTTCAGTTGGATTCCATATGTACAAATATGAGCAAATTCTACAATTATTTCTTTGGTCAAAGTTACCTCGTGCTCCATTTCAGCTTCAGGAACCCTATTTTGGGTGTGTCCATTCCTAAGATTCCCCTAGAAAGAGTTATGGGATGGGAAGTAAATATTTGATTGGAATTCAGCTGTTAAAAATCTTCTTGGTGTAATCACAGAGCACAGTCCACTCTCACACACTGCTACAAAGATCATACAAACATCTGGCCAGCATTTAAAAGTAATTTTTCTATTAATGGTTTTATTTCTTCTCCAACTTCTCCCACTGCAGAAGCCCAGGTCAAACCTGTCACCCCCACATTGCTGCAGTTATTAAAAGAAATAACACCTTTTCCTCAGTTTCTGCTCTCAGCTGTTCCTTAAGGCCTGACAGTTCACTCTTCAAACGTGACAGTTCACTCTCCTGTAAACAGGGAGATAGATAAAGGGCAGGGAAGGAAGAAAACAGGTCAACATGAGACAGGAATTAACAGGGGCACTCCTTAGAAACAAAGGGAAAATCCATTTACTTTGCAACCCTGTGGTGGAACTTCTGGTTTAGTTTGTTTTAAATAAAAACCTGAAGTACTGTAAGAACCAGAAGGGTTCAAGGTAAGAAGTTAAAACACTTTATCCAACTCTTTGATACTAAAGTTTCTCAGGCACTGAGGTCACAACACGATGCATGTTTATTTTCTGGAGAAGTAGACAGAAACCAACTGCTACTTCCAACCTATTTTTAGAAATGCTTGGGTTTTTTAATGTACATAATAAGATGTCTAAGAAAATAAAAGCAAGCAGAAATGAGGGGGTTGATCCTTACTGTTCAGTCCCACTAAAGCAGACACTGAAGTATTAAATAGGAAAAGTAAAATATGGTATTTATTGTATTACACTTGGATGGCACCGGCCCCTCCACTGCATTATTCAGGGTTGAAAAGCGCTCCTTACCAGTGATCTTTCTGATGACAACTGCTCCTGCTGCTTCAGTTTACACAGTTTTAACTCTGCATCTTTCTCTTCAACCATTTTGTCATATTCATGCTGTTAAAAAAACAAACAAACCCCCAAACCAACAACACACTCGAAAATATGGGACTAAATGTTACAATTATGGATAGAGAAAAAAAGAAAATCCTAGAACTTTAGATAAATGGAATTTGTCTGCCCAGAGGCAGGTTTTCAAAATGTGAAGATGAATTTATTTTCAGATGATGAAAAGCTAAAGCTAAGCACGTGTTCGACTCCACCTTCCTAGATTCTGGTCTTTTTTTATGAAGTTGCACTTTCTAACTCACAAAATGCTGGTTTTGAAAGGTTCTTGCTCCTCATGGCATCACAGATGACAAATCACAGCAATCAGTAAAAATCTCTCACCTTGTGTTTTTCCATCAGTGCCACCATTTCCTTTATCCTGTGCTGACACCTGATATCAGTTTCTCTCTGGATCATCGTTGCCTCATCATAAAGCAACTTCAACTTTTCTACCTGTCAGTCATAAATTTCATTTTAATTCACTAACAATTAGCAGTAAGATGTGGTTTTTAAAAATCATTTCTTCTTCCCCCTGCTCCGTGGGTGCAAAGTAATTACAGTTTCATTCAGGCTTCATTTGCCTTTAAGAAGCTGGCCAGTAAAGCTCCACGAAACCATCGTGCATCCCCCCAAAAAAATTCAAATTGCAGGAAAAAATTAGGATCTCTCACCTCTTCGTGAAGTTTGTTTTCATTTACTTTTTTTGTTTCGATCTCCTTTTGGTAGCTGTCAACTGTTTCCTTATGTTGCTTGTTCTTGTTTTCCAGCTCTAACTGCAATTTATTCACCTTTTGAGAGTGCAGAATTGTTGTTATTTGTTCAATAATTAATATGCCAATGATTTTTTTTTTTTTTTACCTCTGATTTTTGAGCAGAAACACTCTGTTACTTTTCAGGTATGTGATTGAACTGTTTCCTATTTAAAGTTCAGCTTTTTTTTTCCTAAAGAATTAAACTTTGGCCTGAAGTGAGTTAGAAAATGCTCACAGAAAGAATGGCAAGAGCCACAAGGGGAAAGACAACCCTAAGCACCCCCCCCCCCAAAATGCTGCGTCTTCCTTGGAAAAAAAATGTAGATTGGAGATTTTATTCCCTCCTTTGTAAATCTATCTCAGATTTTCCCAGTTGCACGGAGTGTGCATTTTGATTGCAGTTTTTCAAGTTTTTCAGGAGAATCTCCTCAAAAAAGTCCACTTCTTTCTTGAAGCGTGGCACCCAAATAATGTATGTGTTTCTCTTAATTTTAATTTAATTCTTTTCTATTTCAGTGGGATTACTGAATACTCTTCAGTACATTATCAACCAAAACAAGAAAGGGACTGATACATTTTTAAATGTCTCATAGCCCAGTCAGAGCTCAGTGATTAAAAACAGAAATGCCTTCCAAAAATTATGGGCCCATTCCTGCCAAATCTGTATCCCAGATCCATAAATCACTCCAGAATGTATTTAAAAAATGTCATCATTATTTCCCCCGGGACTCAAAACACTCACCTCATCTTCTACATGATGTTATTTGAACATACCTTTCCTTCATAAATGCTGCTTTTCTTGCTTTCTGCAGTTATTTTCTTTTTCAGCCCCTTATTCTGTTGAAATAAAGCAAAACAAAACCACTGCACTTTAAAAAGTGGATAAAATTGTGTAATGGTGAGAATCTTAAATAAACTCCAGCTTTCAGCCAGCAAACAACTCTCTGTTGTGCAGTTCAGGTCCTGGAAAAATTCTCAAAACCAAAGGAATGCTCCAGTAATTCCTGGGATAATCCTGTTCCTTCAAGGCCTTGGGAAAGGCTCCTCCTGGGCATGGGAATTCAAACTAAGGGGCTGCTGACAAAAAAATGAAAGTTCTGTTTTCTTGCAGTGAAGTTATGAACAACTTGTGCTGCTGCCAGTTCTTTTCTACTAATGGTAACTGTGATAGGGCTTTATTACAGGTCCATAAATAATACCATATATTAAATGGAAAAAAAGTGTTTATTATAGGTATTATTTCTGTAAATGCTATTTTTAAATGAAGGATAATTTCACAAATCAAGAAATTTCAAAGGTGACTCCTTAATCTGCTCAGAGTCAGGATAAGAAAGGAAATTATCAACTACATAGGTGTGTCTGAAGATTTCACAGCAGACAAAACCCGTTGAAAAGTCCCCACAAAATACCATCTCTTCTGTGTTTGCGACTTTTAAAAACTGTACACACCTCCTGCTGCAACTCCTCAATGCATTTGGTTTTATTTTCCACCAGTTTCTTTAAATTATTCACCTGAAAGAGATTTCAAACACGAGTGAATGAGTCCTGCCAGTGCCTTCCTGTGCCAGAGGTTACTGTCATGCATTTGCACCAGTTTAAAGACAAAAAAGAAGGGGAAAAAAATAGGAGCTTCCCAGTTTAAAAACCAATCTTGTGTCGAGTTCCCTACAATCCATGAAAAAAATGAGTTTTCCTCGTTATTTCCTACAATCTTCAACTGCTCTGCCTTTCTGGAAATTCCATTTTCAACAGTAACTGGGGTTACAATAGTAAATTTTTGGTTTTTACATTGAAATTCTGAAATCCCTAATGCTGAAAAAACCAGGTGTGCTTTGAAACTGGGGCAAGAAAGTAAAAAATACTGGAATCTGTTTAAGCTGGAACTCCCATTATATATTGAAAGCTAATCCAGATCCCACCCATGGCTCGGCGGGGATGTGGAAATAAAGGAGAGGAGGTTCCCTGTTTGCCTGGAAACCCAACAAATCTCCAACTTTCAGCCTCCCAGCAAAGAGGGAACCCCCCCAGGGAAGGTTCCTGTCCTTTAAAACAAAAAAGTGCTGAGCCTGTTGAGTCATCTGGAGCAGCCCAGCAGAGATCCCAGCCCGGGGCAGGCCTTGGCAGAGAGAAACCCCCCCGAGCATTTTCCCTCTCCCACGGGTGGTGGTGGCTGTTCCCACGTGGGGCACGCACGTTCTCATCTCTCTCATCCAGTTTACTCTCGATCTCTTCCCCTGCCTTGGCCATTTTCTCCTTCAGAGACTCCACTTCGTTCCTGAAGGCCAAAGGAACAAATATCAATAAACATTTCAGATTTCCTAAGGAGCTCTTTGCTGCTAAATCTTTATTAAGAAATCGAACTTCTTTTCATTAAAGACAGATTTTATTTTCTAAAAAGAGCTGCTGATATTGATGGGAATTTCATGAGCTGTTCAATGACAATGTTTTTAAAAAGAAGCAAAGTGTCTGGTGAGTTAATGTGTGACCTGTCCATACTTTTTGTAAGGTATGGAAAAACGTTCCCCTCACCTAAGGAAAATACATCCTAACCCTCAGAGTAACTATGACAGAATTGAGTCTAAAATTCCTTTAATAATATCAGATATTAAGATCTGCTCTCACTTGCCTCAGCTGGCCATTTGCCTCCTCTAGGTTTTCAACCAACTGCTTTGCATTTTCTTCTTTCTTCTTACTCTCCTAAATAAAGACTCGTGTAAATTCAGGGTGACATCTTAAAAAGGCACCCAAAGCATGTTGACCTGGCTCATTCACAGGGGTAACTTGTATTTCAGACACAAAAAATAGTTCAGATACTCTACAGAACCATAACATGTTGCAGTTTACTGTCTGATTTGTACTTTAAATGGAGTGTTGTCACCTAAAACCAGGTGGAAGTCTCCAACTTGCCTTGTGACTTTCTTGCAGGTCCCTGAGTTCTGCAGCCACACTGCTTTTCTCTTGTGCTATTTGTTCTTTCTCCAGTGAAAGCTGATTGATGCACGCTGTCAGCTGTTCGTTCTTTAACCTAATTTAAAACAAACAGCCAAGAGAAATAAGAATATGCATTTTGAAATTCCCTTTGAAGTTAAATTCGTCCATTATCAAGGGTTACTTCAGGCCTTTATCTAGAAATTTAAGGTTTGCAGCAAAGCCACAGTGATGCAAAAAGGCAACAGAAGAAGGAAAGAAAATTTCTATGTAAATAGAGCCAACTTTTACATAAATATAATGGCTGGTGAAGATGATGTAGATCAAAGCAGGACTAACAATAAATTCAGGAGCTTTCTCTTCATGTGAACACAACCAGGTCACAGAGATGTGGAAATAGAGAAAATGTAATTCATAAATACAAGTACATAATGAATGTACCGCTGTGTCATTCAAAATTGTCATTAGAAAACAATCACAGATCATTCACTGTGTGGTAAAATAACTTCTGTGCAAAACACACACAAAAAAATTGAATATTATGTTTTCAGAAATGGTCCTACATCTCTTGTTCAAGGTCTGTTTTCAGAGTGGAAAGCTGGTTCAAATAATCTCGCTCCTTTTCAGCTGTCCCGGTCAGCTGGACTTTCAAATCGTGGATTTCGTTCTGCAAAAAGAAGAGTTTTGAGTTTACACCAAAAAAAACCCCTACAATTTATGAAAGTTGTGAGGTGATCTGAGAGCAGGGAGATTTCACCACACATTATCCACACCACATCTTCACATCTCTCTGGTGGAGTGAGACAGTGAATTCTGATGTGAGTCTAATTAACCAGCTGCAAAATTACTGACTAAATCAGTTTTCTTGGACATGATTTTAAATAAAGGCACTCACTTCAGACATCATCAGCTTCTGTGTTCACCTGAACAAAAAAAAGACTAAAAATAAACCCCAGAATTCCAGTTGTATGTGAGAGAAAAGCAACTGGCAGGGATGTGTCCTTATCCCTGATACAGATCCTGTGGAAAGGGAGCAGAGGCTCCTCCAGGACATCTCCTGCTGCCACTGCCACCAGCAGAGCAGCTCAGGGTGGGCACTGCCCTGACTCGATGCCCTTTCTGATGTTCTTGTACTTAAATTATAACATGTAACTTAATTATTTATGAAAACATGTAACTACTGCCCTTTCACCAGACCTCTCTCATCTGGAGAAGATTTTTTGTTTCTTCTTCTCTCTTCTGCAAACTTTCCACAGCAGCCTCCAGATCCTCCTTCTTCAGCAGACGTCCTTCCATTTTCCCCTGGTTCAGAACATCAGAAAATTCAATGCACAGGTTGTAAAGAACAAACTGACAGTGGTAAAATGCACACCTGGTTTCACACTGACATTTTACCCAATGACCTCCCTAAAAAGTGAGACAAAAATTGGGAAATCTCTATGTCCAGAGGGAGTGGCATTTCAATAGGTGTGAATGGAGAAGGAAATAACTGGAAACCTTAACGAGGAAAACCAAAACAAAGCAGAAACGGGACAAGAAAATCAGTGGAAAGAATCAAGTCCTTCAAAGGAACCACTGAAATTGTGTGTTTACCAGAAACATTAAGGCAGAATAAACAGTGTTTAGACATGGCACTTAAGATACTTATAAAGCAAGAGAAATTTCATGTGAGAAGTAAATGCCACGAGACAAATAAAATGAACATTTACCAGCGTTTCTGACAGCTCTTCAAGTTGCATTTCTTTGTCACATTTTAGCTTGGTCATCTCTTCTACAGCACATGCAATGCAAAATTAGTGGAACAGGAAGAGTTTTTCACATTTAGCAGGCAACAGAAAACAATTATCCCTTTGCAACGCCCAATTTTCAAAACTTGTTGGACTAAGGTCATAAACTGCAAAGCTAACTTATGACTTAATCTAAATGCAGAAAAATGATTAAGAAAGACACTAGTAAATATATATATAAAGAGGAACTAATCATTTATCTGATGTAAAATTCAGAGCCTGGTCTTACTACTGTGGTTTGGCTGTTCCCAGTTAGTGACCACCGAAGGAGAAGGAGGCAGGTGAGTAAAAATAAATGGAAGTATTCCTGTGTAAAATCATTTCTCCAAGCAACAGAGACAGTCCATTGCCAGAAAACAGCAGAAAAAAAGCATTTCCTGCCTTTCTACAACTCTTACCCAGTTCAGCAGATTTATTTCTGAGCTCCAAGGCGAGCAGCTTCGACTCGTCTTCGTATTTCTCTGATCTAAGAAAAAGGCAATTAAAAAAAATCCCCAAATGTATAAACAAAACACTTCATTCAAAACTTGAAGGGCAATAAGACCAAGTCTTACTTATTCACAAGAACCTCAAGAACATTGGCCTTTCAACAGGCAGATGGTTTATCTGCCTGCAACACATACCAAGTTTCCCTTTCACAACTTCAGAACAACAGACATAAAAGTAAATAAATATTTACATGCAGAAATCTGTATTTCTTAAAGACAGAATTATGAGGAGGGGGGGAAAATGTACTTTTTTAATAGACCAGTATCAACCAGCACAACTGAAAAAAAATCCCATTAAAGCCTCTGCATTTGGACAACTGTGACAAAAAAACCCTCTGAATTTCAGCTCCACGTCCGATTGTTCTTGATTTTGCGACAAACTGTAACCTACAAGACCATTCTTTGAACTTCAAAACTTTTCAGTTTACCTATTTTGCTCTTTTTGCAGCGAGCTTTTCAAACTGGCAATGGAAGCCTCAAACTCTGCTGTCAGGGCTGCATGCAAGGCCTTGGTTTTTTTACATTCTTCTTCCTGTGCCTCCTTTTCTTCGGTGACCTGAATTAATGTTTTCACCGTGGTCTGGAATTCGTTCTCTAAGCTCTTTTGAGTAACCTTCAAAAAATCATATAATCTCTAAACGTGCTTTGCAACAAAGAGCTACAGCTGTTTCACACCTAAAGTGTCAGTAATTATTTGTGCAATCACTCATTTAATCTCTTTCTGCTGGAGAACCATCAGCAAGCTGTACCTCTGCCTTCTGCAATGAAGTTTTGGCCTCCTCCAGCTCTGCCCTCAAACGTTCTTGATTGGCCTGGGATTCCTCGAACATTTCTCCTTCAATGCAAAAAGATGAATGCTTAAATTTAGGAAAAATAGGGTATTTACTAAAAAAAGGTGCTGAAAACGTAAAATGACACACACTCATCTGGCATCATATACTACAAATATTTTGAAAATAAATGGCTTAAAAATATCGAAAATCAAGTTCTGGAAAAGAAAGTTTCCTCCTCAGTGGCACCTGCCTGACTGTAAATGTGCAAAACCCAAGCAATGTATTTTCCCCCTTGCAATCTTCAAAAGCCCTCACTGCTTGACTGGCCCTAAAAACCAGTTCTGATCCCACAGCAGCAGTTTCTGTTCCAAACAAAACTAAGGCCTGCAAGGCCCCAAAATTCTGCTGCTGATTAATAACAGAGTGAAATTATCATGATCTTGTTTCTCACACTTCCTCAAACAATCACAGATTACCACAGCAGGGGAAACTCTTACTTTTTTCTTCTATTAAGCCAGCAATCTGATTTTGTGATTCCTGCAGCTGAGCCTGGATGTCTCTTATCACATCATCTTTTTCATCACTCTGGGTGATAAGAGCTGAAATCTGGCAAAATTAAAATGATATCATGAGGAATTCTAGAAAAAGAAGAGAGTGCCACTTCCATTTGTGCCCCAGGAGCGACGAGCAGACCTGCTGTGACTCCAGTACGGGGAAGGTGCTTGGTCTTCGCCAAATATCCCTCAAGCCACGAATGAAAAAGTTCTCCAAAATCAAACCATAAATTCTAATCAGCCAAAGGGACTGGAACATCATTCAGCAGGATGTGACCGAGGTGCAGCTCCAGCTGTTATTTTTGGGTTTTTTTTAGCAATGCCCAGGAACTCCTCAGGCCTTGCACTGCCCCTTTATTCATGAATAAAGCTGTTAATATTAGATTGTAAAAGTGAGCAAACCTGCTCTGCCTTCTGGCTGACTTCCAGCTTGCATTCTCTTTTGAACTTGTCCATTTTTTCTGCTTCTTCTTTTACTTTGGAGATACAGATACATCCATAGTTAACATTCTAGCTGAAAGATACTCCAAGTTCAATGCAATTTTCCAGCTTAAGATTGCTTGCCATTGTACAGTTTGCTTCCTAAAGAGCAATTGTTGACACAATGCTTGATTTTTTTCCTGCCAGCATTCCACAGAATTGGTCCATTATTCCGTGTTTCTTACAGGAAACTACCAGGAACACCCATGTAAAGATTAAACAGGCACATAGTAACCTATATAAAACAAGTATTTAATGAAGTTCCTGCAGCTCAACACTAGGGCATTATCAGTTAAATACCAACTACATAAAATAAGTAGTGATCTGCAGATTCTTCGCAGAGAAACCTTGGGCTTTGAGTGGCTATTTCAAAAATAAAGTTC